CGCTCAAACGTGCGTCACCATTAGGGATGTAAATAACTATGAATTTTCATGACCGACCACCGAGCCCCATTAACCGGTTGAAACCGGTTAACCGCGTAGTTTAAAATAGTCCACGTTCTTTGAAATAACAGCCATTTCGAGCCGCGTACTTTTCATAAGTGCAGCTGAGCGTTCTACGGGATCAGAGCCGAGACAGCGGCACCAAAACCCGCAACAGCTCCGGCACCTTTGCGCACAGAGAACTGCTGTTTTAAGTGACCAGTGACACGCCCGGACACGCCATGGACCAGTGACACGGCATGGCGTGTCCAGGCGTGTCACTGGTCCATGACGTGTCCAGGCGTGTCACTGGTCCATGACGTGTCCAGGCGTGTCACTGGTCCATGACGTGTCCAGGCGTGTCACTGGTCCATGACGTGTCCATGGCGTGTCACTGGTCCATGACGTGTCCAGGCGTGTCACTGGTTCATGACGTGTCCATGGCGTGTCACTGGTCCATGACGTGTCCACGGCGTGTCACTGGTCTAAGGTGTTTCCAGGTGTGAGCAGCCCGGACATGTCATGGATCAGTGAGACGCCTGGACACGCCATGGACCAGTGACACGCCTGGACACGCCATGGACCAGTGACACGCCTGGACACGTCATGGACCAGTGACACGCCTGGACACGTCATGGACCAGTGACACGCCATGGACCAGTGACACGTCATGGACCAGTGACACGCCATGGACACGTCATGGACCAGTGACACGCCATGGACACGTCATGGACCAGTGACACGCCTGGACACGCCATGGACCAGCGTGTCACTGGTCGATGGCGTGTCCAGGCGTGTCACTGGTCCATGGGCGTGTCTAGGCGTGTCACTGGTCCATGACGTGTCCATGGCGTGTCCAGGCGTGTCACTGGTCCATGACGTGTCCAAGGCGTGTCACTGGTCCATGGCGTGTCCGGGCGTGTCACTGGTCCATGAAGTGTCTGGGCGTGTCACTGGTCCATGGCATGTCCAGGCGTGTCACTGGTCCATGACGTGTCTATGGCGTGTCCAGGCATGTCACTGCTCCGTGACGTGTCCAGGCGTGTCACTGGTCCATGATGTGTCTGGGTGTGAGCAGCCTGGACACGCCATGGACCAGTGACACACCATGGACCAGTGACATGTCATGGACCAGTGACACGCCTGGACACGCCACGGACCAATGACACGCCTGGACACGTAATGGACCAGTGACACGTCATAGACCAGTGACACGCCATGGACCAGTGACACGCCAAGGACCAGTGACACGCCTGGACACGTCATGGACCAGCTACACGCCTGGACACGTCATGGACCAGTGACACGCCATGGACACGTCATGGACCAGTGACACGCCCGTACACGTCATGGACCAGTGACACGCCCGGACACGCCATGGACCAGTGACACGGCGTGGCGTGTCCAGGCGTGTCACTGGTCCATGGCGTGTCACTGGTCCATGACGTGTCCATGGCGTGTCACTGGTCCATGACGTGTCCATGGCGTGTCACTGGTCCATGGCGTGTCCAAGCGTGTCACTGGTCCATGGCGTGTCCAGGCGTGTCACTGGTCCATGGCGTGTCCGGGCGTGTCACTGGTCCATGGCGTGTACGGGCGTGTCACTGGTGCATGACGTGTCACTGGTCCATGGCGTGTCCGGGCGTGTCACTGGTCCATGGCGTGTCCAGGCGTGTCACTGGTCCATGGCTTGTCCAAGCGTGTCACTGGTCCATGGCGTGTCCGGGCGTGTCACTGGTCCATGGCGTGTCCGGGCGTGTCACTGGTCCATGGCGTGTACGGGCGTGTCACTGGTGCATGACGTGTCACTGGTCCATGGCGTGTCCGGGCGTGTCACTGGTCCATGGCGTGTCCAGGCGTGTCACTGGTCCATGGCGTGTCCAAGCATGTCACTGGTCCATGGCGTGTCCAGGCGTGTCACTGGTCCATGACGTGTCCACGACGTGTCACTGGTCCATGGCGTGTCCGGGCGTGTCACTGGTCCATGGCATGTCCAGGCGTGTCACTGGTCCATGGCGTGTCCAGGCGTGTCACTGCTCCGTGACGTGTCCACGGCGTGTCGCTGGTCCATGACGTGTCCATGGCGTGTCACTGGTCCATGGAGTGTCCAGGCGTGTCACTGGTCCATGACGTGTCCACGGTGTGTCACAGGTCCATGACATGTCCATGGCGTGTCACTGGTCCACGGCGTGTCACTGGTCCATGGCGTGTCCGGGCGTGTCACTGGTCCATGGCGTGTCCAGGCGTGTCACTGGTCCATGACGTGTCCACGGTGTGTCACAGGTCCATGATGTGTCCACGACGTGTCACTGGTCCATGGCGTGTCCGGGTGTGTTACTGGTCCATGACGTGTCCAGGCGTGTCACTGGTCCATGGCGTGTCGCTGGTCCATGATGTGTCCACGGTGTGTCACAGGTCCATGACGTGTCCACGGTGTGTCACAGGTCCATGACGTGTCCAACACGTGTCACTGGTCCATGGCGTGTCCGGGCGTGTCACTGGTCCATGGCGTGTCCAGGCTTGTCACTGGTCCATGACGTGTCTACGGTGTGTCACAGGTCCATGACGTGTCCACGACGTGTCACTGGTCCATGGCTTGTCCGGGCGTGTCACTGGTCCATGACGTGTCCATGGCGTGTCACTGGTCCATGGCGTGTCACTGGTCGATGGCGTGTCCACGGCGTGTCACTGGTCGATGGCGTGTCCAGGCGTGTCACTGGTCCATGGCGTGTCCAGGCGTGTCACTGGTCCATGACGTGTCCAAGGCGTGTCACTGGTCCATGGCGTGTCCGGGCGTGTCACTGGTCCATGAAGTGTCTGGGCGTGTCACTGGTCCATGGCATGTCCAGGCGTGTCACTGGTCCATGACGTGTCCATGGCGTGTCCAAGCGTGTCACTGCTCCGTGACGTGTCCACGGCGTGTCACTGGTCCATGGCGTGTCCAGGCGTGTCACTGGTCCATGATGTGTCTGGGTGTGAGCAGCCTGGACACGCCATGGACCAGTGACACGCCATGGACCAGTGACATGTCATGGACCAGTGACACGCCTGGACACGCCACGGACCCAATGACACGCCCGGACACGCCATGGACCAGTGACACGCCATGGACCAATGACACGCCTGGACACGCCATGGACCAGTGACACGCCTGGACACGTCATGGACCAGTGACACGTCATGGACCAGTGACACGCCATGGACCAGTGACACGCCAAGGACCAGTGACAAGCCTGGACACGTCATGGACCAGCTACACGCCTGGACACGTCATGGACCAGTGACACGCCATGGACACGTCATGGACCAGTGACACGCCATGGACACGTCATGGACCAGTGACACGCCCGTACACGTCATGGACCAGTGACACGCCCGGACACACGCCATGGACCAGTGACACGGCGTGGCGTGTCCAGGCGTGTCACTGGTCCATGGCGTGTCACTGGTCCATGACGTGTCCATGGCGTGTCACTGGTCCATGACGTGTCCATGGCGTGTCACTGGTCCATGGCGTGTCCAGGCGTGTCACTGGTCCATGGCGTGTCCAGGCGTGTCACTGGTCCATGACGTGTCCAAGGCGTGTCACTGGTCCATGGCGTGTCCGGGCGTGTCACTGGTCCATGACGTGTCTGGGCGTGTCACTGGTCCATGTCATGTCCAGGCGTGTCACTGGTCCATGATGTGTCCATGGCGTGTCCAGGCGTGTTACTGCTCCGTGACGTGTCCACGGCGTGTCACTGGTCCATGGCGTGTCCAGGCGTGTCACTGGTCCATGATGTGTCTGGGTGTGTGAGCAGCCTGGACACGCCATGGACCAGTGACACGCCATGGACCAGTGACATGTCATGGACCAGTGACACGCCTGGACACGCCACGGACCAATGACACGCCCGGACACGCCATGGACCAGTGACACACCATGGACCAATGACACGCCTGGACACGCCATGGACCAGTGACACGCCTGGACACGTCATGGACCAGTGACACGCCATGGACCAGTGACACATCATGGACCAGTGACACGCTTGGACACGCCATGGACCAGTGACACGCCATGGACACTTCATGGACCAGTGACACGCCATGGACACTTCATGGACCAGTGACACGCTGTAAACATGCCATGGACCAGTGACACGTCATGGACCAGTGACACGTCATGGACCAGTGACACGCCATGGACCATTGACACGTTATGGACCAGTGACACGCCATGGACCATTGACACACCTTAGACCAGTGTCACAACTGGACACGCCTTAGACCAGTGACACACCTGGACACGCCTTAGACCAGTGACACCCCACTAAGCAAGCCGACGTTGAATCAACGTAATTTGAACGTCGTTGTCCGACGTAGAATATAGGTCACTGGTGGGTGCAGAATGAAAGTTTTCTCGACGTCGTTTCCCGACGTCACCTCAACCTCCAAATGTTACGTTGATGGCACGTCAATTCAAGGTTTGAATGTGGTACGGAACCGGTCGGGTCTGACGTCCTATCAACGTCTCATATGACCAAAATATTGACGTTTATATGACGTTCGTTTTCAGTCGTTCCCACTAAGCAAGCAGATGTCAAAACAACATAATTTCAACGTCATCTGGACGTTCATTCAAGGTTGCAATGTGGTACAGAACCGGTCGGGTCCGACGTCCTCTCGACGTCTTATATGACCAAAATATTGACGTTTATATGACGTTCGTTTTCAGTTGTTCCCACTAAGCAAGCAGATGTCAAAACAACGTAATTCCAACGTCATCTGGACGTTCATTCAAGGTTGTAATGTGGTACAGAACCAGTCGGGTCCGACGTCCTCTCGACGTCTTATATGACCAAAATATTGACGTTTATATCACGTCCATTTACAGTCCTATTGACTTAATAGTCGAGACATACTTTTTGCAATAGGCAAGGCAAGTTTATTTGTATAGCACAGTCAAAACAAAAGGAAACTCAAAGCACTGAACAAAAGATAGAAACAATCAAACAAGGCATTACAATTATAAATATTGACAGTAAATTAAAAAGATACAAATAAAATCTCTCAAAAAATCTCTCAGTTGAAGCAGAAACAGAAGTGTTTTAAACCTGGATTTTAACATTGTCAAAGAAGAAGCCTGTCTCACATTTCCAGGAAGACCGTTCCAGATTTTAGCCTTGTGAATCTGAAATGCAGCTATATCATGTTTAGTTCTGACTCTGGGCAATAAACGATAAACACAGCATTCAAAAATCATTAGAACAACTGTAGTAGAAGGATATCAGTCATTATTGCAAATGGAGCTGCATTAAAAATCATGTTTCTCTACATCAAAGTACAAGTTAAACCATACAGGGCACAGTGTTATGAAGACTACTGTACTGAACAGTTCATGCCAAAGTAAAAAAACATGATTGTAGCGCCTATGTTTGGATCAGTATTAAAACAGGCACAAGCTACACTCTAGGTTCCCCAGATGTAAAAACACAATCTGAAAGGCAGAAGAATGCATTTATTGAATGTTGATGTTCCAACATGTGTCCTCTCTTGGTCTTCAGTCTCTCATCACAAGGTCCAAGCACAGCACCTGAAAATGTGGAACATGTTTAGTTTCAACATAATGTGGCAAAGTGATATAACAACACATAACTTTCTATTAATGCCTCAAACCACTCGATCCATCACCATGTGATACAAACCTTGGCACTGCACTTAGCTCGAGACACTGGAAGACACTCCGTCTGAGAAACTTGGGATAAGGCTTTGGTCATTGGAGTAATTCCATGTAAAAAACAATTGCAAATGTGCATTTGTTTCAAATGAGCCCTGAAAGCTACTTACCCTGTATTACTCTACACATGTCGCATTTCCGAGGGGGCATTTTCCCCTTGTTGCTCTTTTCCCTCATCATGAGTGAGTTGCTGAACAATCTGAGAAAAAGATAGATGTTTTCAAAGAGAATACACCAAATAATGGTTTATTCTAAAAACAACATATTAATACAGAACAACAATCAATGTGTGAGAGTGTGATTCTTACCTTTGAACACCTTCAACACAGTCTGACACCTGTAAGACTCAAACACACATGACACATTAGGAATACACATAGAACATTAGTTATTGCAACAATCATGAAATTATACTCTATGGATTTCACAAAAAATTGACTGCATTAGCAAAGGTAAATGTATTTTAATTATCATATGGCTGGTTTTAAAGTTTATAAGAAAAAGTAAGAAATTGAATAGAGTTGCAAGCGCTAGTTAGCTTGCTACCAGCAGATGAATGGATATTTAATATTTGCAGCTAACAATAACAAAAATAACGACTGTAGTGGCTCATTTGAACAGCCACAGTGAGAAGAAGTGAAAGTCTCTGACATTGAAGACCTGGGAAGACATTAAATCCATTTATTAAACAAAGCAATACATGAACATTAAACTCTCTTTCTGCAGCAGGTAACATCTGTGTGCTCCTATGGTCCCACATGGTCCCACATGGTCCCACACCTGAACTCAACTCCAACTGATGACATCACAGGTGTCTAAATGATGGGAGTGTCCCAAATATTAAAGCTGATCTCCCTGTTTTTAAACTTAGTTTACTAAGTACTGTTGTCTTTTTGCAGTTTATAAACCATTGTGAAATATACAGTAACTTTACATTTTAGAATTGAATTATTATTTTAAAACTCAAGAATCTTAACCTTTTTTAACACATAGTTTGTTGGACAGTCTAACCTAAGAATTCTAATGTGTTAAAAATAGTTTGAAATATGAAAAACAATATCATATTTTAAACTTTAACTTAAAAACAAAAAAAGGTGTCTCCCTTTCAGCTGAGCAGTGCCAGCCGTTATTATTATTGAGAATGAGGAGTCACGTGATAATTTGGGCGGGGTCTAATACGGTCGGCCATGTTGATAGGATCCTCTATCGGTTGCCAGGGGCAACGCCACTAACGCTCAATATATAGCTACAGTCTATGCTAACGCTCCAGAGGTCTTTAACTTGAGCGGCCGTTTATTATTTTGGCAGTAGATACATCTACGATTACAACACTAGCAAGACAGTTAATGGAGAAAGTGAAGGCGAAAGGAAATGGACCGTACAGGGAAAAGCAAAACAACGTTATTTGGAGAAGCTCTCAGACATACAACAGGTAGACCCATACGAGCTTCCTGCAGCGGAGTGGCAAAAATACCTTGACTTTTTGCCTCCGTGCACGTACATGGATATAGTGAATTACCTTGTTTTCGGTGTTAGTTATTATACAATGCAGGAGTTTAGAAGTCACAAGTCACTGGAGAGTTACGAGGCTTTCTGCTGTGGTTGGGTGCAGGACTTGGCCATCTACAAGCCTCCAGGCGGTGAAAACACTGTTGTACTACAGAATAAAAAGCATGATTTAAAATTAAAAACAAAAAATCATAAGAAAAAGATAACAGATAAGTAATTCCAGCTTAAAAGAAGCCGTGCAGATTTGTACATTAGAATAAAAAATATTCAAAAGCAGCTGAGAACAGGTGGGTCTTTAACCTGGATGTAAACAAACTGAGTGTTTCAGCTGATCTGAGGCTTTCTGGGAGTTTGTTCCAGACATGTGGAGCATAGAAGCTGAATGCAGCTTCTCCGTGTCTGGTTCTGACTCTGGACTCGGATCCAGATGACATGAGGGGTTCTGGTTGGTTCATAAGTTATGAACAAGGCACTCAAACAACACTTTTGCACATGTTCGTTAAGGCACAGCAAACAGTGACAATCTTATCTAAAGGCATTAGGTTTTCACCCTCACATTTGAGAAGCATATGCACAGGTACAGTTGAATGTAAGAATTTGAATTTGTTGCGCACAACACCAATCACCCTCTCAACGTGAATTCTGAGATGGAAGGTCTAATCTGAGGCGCATTACAGTCAATAGGACAAGCTGGAAGGGTGAGAGCTTCCTCATCCTTCCTTGAGGCAGCTGCTGGGCCGGCGATGGGGGCTGCTGGGCTTGGGCTGGCGATGGAGGCTGCTGGGCTTGGGCTGGCGATGGAGGCTGCTGGGCTTGGGCTGGCGTGGTGGGCTGCTGGGCTTGGGCTGGCGATGGAGGCTGCTGGGCTTGGGCTGGCGATGGAGGCTGCTGGGCTTGGGCTGGTGATGGAGGCTGCTGGGCTTGGGCCGGCGATGGAGGCTGCTGGGCTTGGGCTGGGAGTGATGACTGCTCCAGATGCTGGGTACTGCGCTTTACTTGCCGCTGATATCGCGCTCCATCTGTTTCTTTAACATTATTGTGGCCTAACCGCAAGGATGGTGTCCAGTCAGGGTGATTCTCCAACATCTCATATGATGGTTTACCTAGAACAGAATAATCTATGTAGTCAATGCTTTAAACTGGCAACAAGGTAGCATAATGTCATGAACAGAATCTCAACTATTTTTAGCAATCTCATATAATGGTTTACTTACGTCAGATTAATAAGATTATTAAACAATCTGGAATCTAAAGAAATATTAAACAAGAAGGTAACGCTATTCATGGTTTCATAAAAGGGCTCAGGGGGTAGTGGCAACACAAGACAAAAAAAAAGTTTGGGCACCACTGGTTTAGAGAACATAAGAGACAGAGACAAACGCACTTTGAGTGCCCATATTCCACCAACAAGGTAGGATAATGAGCAGAAACTTAAATATTCTTAGTTAACATTAATGGTTGGCCATTAAGCATTTTCATAGAGGCAACAGTTTGTTAGATAGTTAGCTAGGCAGCTAACTTAAGATGCACTTCAGTGTTTGCAACATTAACAGCTAGGTAACCTACACTTCTTAACTTTAAAAAAACAACATAAAGACATTTTAGGACGTACCCGAGTGAAAATGCAGAGAACACACTCTCATCGACTGGGGGGTGAGATCGAAAGTAAGGTCCTTTCTTCTTATTGCAGCCAACCAAGCCATCCGGTGTCTCTTCGTCAGGTCAGACACTTGCGCTCCCTGATGTTGTATCCATTTTGTTAGCCTAAAAAATTGTAAACCGTTGTTCCTACGTTTTCCTTTCTTATTGTGTGAGGTACTGGAGCAGTTTTTCACACAGCAATGAGCTCCAGGCATGGTAAAACAGAAATAGCGACGACCTCCTTTGCTACCGAGTTAACAACAACAAGTGTTTGCCGCTGGGATCCTACCAACATGGCGGAGACGGGGAGGGGCTCTGTGCTATGACGTCAGCTCCTCACTCTCAATAGATTCATGCACTGGCAATTCAAAATACAGATAATATAAAAAAATATACTTAACAAAATCCACGTATACGTGAGAAAACAACTTACTTTCTGTCTCCAACTCTTTTCAATGTGGAAATGATACATCTATATCTAAAAACTGTGCAGACTGTGTACTTACTAGAGAGGGTGATTCCAAGTAGCTAAATAAAGCAGGGCAGCGACAGAGGTACAGATTCAACGTCATATCAACGTCTGGGAAGACATTGCTTTACGTCCAGATGCACACCTTACGTCGTTTAGACGTGGAAAACAGGTCCTCGACCGAGCGACTCACGTGTCAGGCTGTAAAGCCGTTATACTCGCGCGGCGCATAAGTGTGCGTCGGTTGTTTAGGGTGTTATGTATTATTTTGTCACAGTAGTCTGGATAAATGCCTGGCCGTGGTGTAGCGGTTGCGTAATGAGACTTCAGTCCCAACGACGCAGGTTCAAATCCCCTTCGGAAAACTTTTGACTTTTTACTTTTTAGCGAACAATTTTTCTGTTTGGTTAAAAACGAATAAACACTCAACATAAGATTATGTAGTGGCTAATAATAAAACTTGTGAACCCATGCATTTGCATACAATCTCAAGTGCTCACCCCTTATTTGCAAACTTGAGATTGTTAGCACAACAAATGCATACATTCACAAGTTTTATTATTAGCCACTACGTAATCCTATGTTGAGTGTTTATTAGTCTTTAACCAAACAGAAAGAAATTGTTCGTTAAAAATCAAAACAAATATGTAAAGATAATAATACACACACGTGGGCTCGAACTCACGTAACCAAGGCTGCACACATTTGCTTAACCACTACACTACCGTCAGGTACACTGAGTTCGCTTCACAGCCTATATATTGTATTGCTAGATCAAGACGTACTGCGTCGGTCAGCCGATGACCTGTTTTCGACGTCTAAGGGAGGTCGGGATTGAACGTCATATCCACGTATATGGGAGGTCATTGTTTTACGTCCAGATGCGCACCTTGCACAGACGTCGTTTGGACGTAAATAAAAGGTCACGACCGACCGACGCGATATTGACGTGATCTGGAGGTTGAGTGGACGTCGGATGTTTAGTGGGACACCTGGACAGGCCTTAGACCAGTGACACACCTAGTGGGGAAGTGATTAGGAGTGGGCAAAATATATCGTAGACAATAATATCGTGAAAGCCAATTTGAAGATATGCTTTATTGTATTAGTAAGTAAGTAGTAAGTAAGTAATCTTTATTTATATACCGCCTTTTCACTGCACATCGGAGTCTCAAAGCGGTTTACAATTGTTATTTTTGGGAGTGGGGCAAGTACAGGAGGCACATGCCAGACCTATTGTACATATTTTTAGTGGTAGGGGAAACCGGAGGACCCGGAGGAAACCGGAGGACCCGGACGAAACCTACGCAGACACAGGGAGAACATGCAAACTCCACTCAGAAAGGCCCTGGTCAAACCGGGATTCGAACCCAGGACCTTCTTGCTGAGAGGCGAGAGTGCTATCCACTCAGCCACCGTGCCGCCACCGTGCCGCCCAAGTATTATCTTTTTTATTTTCCAATACATATTACAATTAGAGAAGGAAAGATGCCCATTGGTCTAATGTGTGCCTAAAAAGCCTATCACTGCTTTATTTGTACATTACAGTAAATATTGAGCCTTTTTGGATGTGTTTTTTCTGTGTTTCTTGAATCTGATTTTTAATGTTAATATATGTTAGTGCATGTTTTGCAAAGATGTGTGTAGCACTTCAGAAAATAAAAAGCTTAATTTTTGATCTACACTGTCTCTTATCTATAGATGCCATGGCAAGCAAAACATTGCAGATCATTTTGTGTAACCATTTTTTATTTTAAAGATATCGTGACAATGTCGTTATCGGGAGTTTGGTATAAAGTATCAAGATATTTATTTTTGTCCATATCGCCCACCCCTAGATGTGATGCATGCTTGCAGATTGGGAGTTGAGTTCTGGTGGATACAGATATAGTTTGTGTGTGATTGACACGTCTCTGTTGGTAAGAGGCAGTTATGTCTGTAAACCTTTTGTTGCTTGATCTCATTTTCTTTTAGAATGGAGTGATTATAGATGTACCATCTATTTAAGTGCAGGATAGAGACGGTGAAGCCAGTTGAAACTAGGAATAACTGGAATTCAGTGAAGGTATCAAGGGAATACATGACAAAGTTTGCCAGTAGACTGAAGAATAAGCTCTACACGTGTTTGCAGAGACAATTCAAACTCTTAAAAAAGCAATCCTCCATAGATTATTGATTATTATAATGATGTGCCTCAGTCTCTTTGGCCTCATTATCCATGTGTCCTTTCAGAACAGGTTATCCACAGTGTATGTGTGTGTTGACCTGGCCTTACACACCATGTGTCCTTTCAGAACAGGTTATCCACAGTGTATGTGTGTGCGGACCAGGCCTCACAGACCATGTGTCCTTTCAAACCAGGTTATACACAGTGTATGTGTGTGTTGACCTGGCCTTACACACCATGTGTCCTTTCAGAACAGGTTTTCCACAGTGTATGTGTGTGCGGACCAGGCCTCACAGACCATGTGTCCTTTCAAACCAGGTTATACATAGTGTGTGTGTGTATGATGACATCACTGACCTTGTAAACCACACTGTCCTTATAGACCGTGTTTTTGAAAAGTCTTTACAAACCCCTGAAAAGTCTTGAAAACAGTCATTTTTTATATCTCAGTGCAGCAAAGGAAATCTTTAAATTTTAAGCCGTGTATAGGTTCTGTGATTTTTTTCATGATCATTGATATGATTTTTGAGGCTCTAGCACCACGGGAACCCAGTGTCCCCGTATACCTATGTACAGTCTGGTTTAAAGGGATTTTAGAAAAAATGTCCTTACAACCAGTGTGGCCATTGAAGTTGGCCATTGACTTGAATGGACGGCCTTCCTCCTGTAAACGCAGGGCTTGGTCTCCACACATTGAGAACCACTGTCATAGATGATCCTATAGAGCAGACAGAAGCATGCTCTGCGCTCTTAAAAAATGGATAGAAGTTTGTGTGTAGACTCGGTGCCTGTCGTGTGAGCAGTTGTCCCTAAGTCGGCGTATGCTGCTCTTTGGACTGTGGTCAGATGGAGCACCTCAGACGTGACAGTTCAGATTCAGTTTATTTGCCATTTGCAGTAAAAAAACCACATTGGAATACATTAGCAAAAGTCTCCAGTGTGCACAGACAAATACAGACATAAAACAACATTAAAAGACAGAAATAAAACAAATAAAACGGTAAACAAATGTCACTGTGAAATCGATCGACTAAAACAGTTTCAAAACAAGTGCAAACATTAAAGTGCTCTGATCACACTGATAACAGCTTGTGGATAAAAACGGTTAGCGTAACGAGATGTCCTGCATCTCAGAGAGCGATATCTTCTGCCAGAGGGAAGAAGCTGGAACATGGCTTTCCCAGGGTGGCCAGAAGAGTCATTAACAGTCCTAAGAGCTTTGTTTAAAAGTCTGGATTTATAAAGAACCTCCAGAACAGGAAGCTCACAGCCCACGGTCCTCTTTGCAGAGCGGAGCACCTTGTTTAAAGCTCTCTTTTCTTTATCTGTGATGTTTCCAAACCACACAGACACAGAACCAACAAGTAAACTCTCAATGGTGCAGTGATAAAAGTTAAGCACAATCTTAGAGTTAGTGGTAAATTCTCTAAGTTTCCGCAGAAAGTAGAGACGCTGACGAGCTTTCTTAACGACTCGGTCAGTGTTTTTAACCCATTTCAGGTTAGACAGAGTTAAACCCAGAAACTTGCTCCTCTACGATCTGCACCTGGGAGTTGTCGATTACGACAGGCAAATGACAACTATTGCGACTGAAGTCGTAGACCAGTTCACATGTTTTGGATGCGTTCAACTGGAGGTTGTTAGTTTGACTCCACTGAACCACATTTTGTATCTCTGATCTATAAGAGGATTCATCAGTGTCACTGATGAGACCGATGATGGTGGTGTCATCAGCATATTTGATGATCAAGTTAGAGTCAGAGGAGGACACGCAATCGTGAGTGTACAAAGTAAAAAGCAAAGGACTCAAAATACATCCCTGAGGAGAACCAGTGCTCACAGAAACAACATCAGAAAAACACTCATTGATTTTCACTCTCTGAGATCTGTCAGTTAAAAAGCTAAAAATCCATTTACACATGGCAACACCTAAACCCAGAGACATGAGCTTTTCAATCAGTTTACCTGGGACAAGGCAGTTAAAAGCAGAGCTATAATCGATGAAAAGCATTCTGGCCACAGATTTACTAGTGTCCAAGTGACTGTAGACAGAGTTCAGAGCAAAGGAGATGGCATCCTCCACACTCCTGTTCTGTCTGTAAGCAAACTGGAGTGGGTCAGCGGACGGGAGCGCACTCGCTGACTCACCCTATGGGCCACCCACGTCTCGGAGCGCCCGGCTAAAGTCACACACAGTTTCCATGGCAACCACATTTTACACCTTTAAAACTAACCTCAACTTTTACTCTCATCTGATATCCAACTCACTCCACTCATTCCAAATAGGACCAGTCTTCCAATCAGAAAGTAGAATGGGCTTAGATGATGTCACTTTCTAATACCAATAGGTAAAACTACACATCTTTTAAAATACATTTTATTAACCTGCTAATGTATATTTTGTAAAGATTCAACTACCTCACCAAACTGATGTACATGGCTCATACTGCGGGCATACCCAAAGAAGACATTGTACTGTGTGGCAGACATGGGGACTCGCGAGTCTGACTCGAACTTGTGTCGGATGTAAGCCACTCTTTTCAACTCTTGCAACATGACACAGACTTTTAAGACTCAAGACTTGACTCGTGGTTTGACAAATAATATCTGTTGCGTTGCTCGCCCTCTTTCTCCAGTGTGGGGTTGTGGCCAAAGGTGCATCGTGGAGAAGCACCTTTGGCCGCTGGGCTGACCACTGTACAGTATATTGGATTCGAAAACTAAACAGCCCTGGTTAAAAAGAGCGAGGCTGTGCACTGCTCCAGTGAGTAGTAGTAGTAGTAGTAGTAGTAGTAATCTTTATTTATATACCGCCTTTTCACTGCACATCGGAGTCTCAAAGCGGTTTACAATTGTTATTTTTTTTTGGGATTGGGGGTCGCCAGTACAGGAGGCACATGCTAGATCTATTGTACATATTTTTAGGGGTAGGGGAAACCGGAGCACCCGGAGGAAACCTACGCAGACACGGGGAGAACATGCAAACTCCACTCAGAAAGGCCCTGGTCCAACCGGGATTCGAACCCAGGACCTTCTTGCTGAGAGGCGAGAGTGCTATCCACTCAGCCACCGTGCCGCCCGGTGTGAGGAGAAAGACGAGCTGCTTTGAGAACAATGGGGCGAGCGCACAGCCGTAGTGCTTCCAGAACATGACCAGAGCAACCGGAGCACTGCGCAGGCAGAACATGCTACACATACAGAGAACAATGCTGCAAGAAACAGGCCTGGATCATGGGAGCAGAAGTTTCCATGTCCTCCCCCATGGGTTCTCCTGACGCGTCTGACCAAACCTAGAGGCAAAAGATGTGAAAGAAGTTTATTCTCTGGTCATTTCAGACCAGAGAATAAACTTTTTCCAACAATTGCAATCTGTCACATAGGGCTCTATGTCTTTGATCCAGAATCAGACCCTAATTATTTAGTTAACAGTGATACACAGTGAGTTAGCGTCTTTTATGTTGGCAATAACACCACGTTTCCAGATCAACTTTTGAGTCAGTTCTGTTTCAAGGTAACGGTAATTCTGGAACAGTCTGTGGCAAAGTGTCATTGTCACTTTCAAAAATACATCTGCGAGAATTGTTGCGGATTTCAGACATGCAGATGTCAGACACGCGGATTTCAGAAGAAGATCCCCACGAACAAAGTCGATCCCTCCGATTCTCCGTCTTCGGCTAAATGCTGTTGTCACGTATTTACACCCATTTTCAAGTTTACATGAAGCTAACAAAGAAGCACTGCAGACGCATATTTACAGTCTATGGACCACACGCTGGATGGGTTGACCACAGACGCCGTTGATTCGCTGGTTCGGTTTCTCCCCGCTGTCAATCACCTCTTGGAGGCGGGCTTTTGACGTCACGGATTGGTGCACGTCACGATTTGAAACAGCTTGTTTCTGTGTCTCTCAAGAATGAAAGAGAAAGATTGCTCTCTAACTAAAACTTGAGGGAATCAACGAAAAAAACTACTCTGGGCATGTGTTTGAAGGCCAAATAGCACTGTAATTATGTTTAAACCAGAGAAAAGTCAAACACTTTAATATGGCACCTAGGGATGTAAAAAACTATGAATTTTCATGACCGACCACCGAGCCTCATTAACCGGTTGAAACCGGTTAACCGCATAGTTTAAAATAGTCCACGTTCTTTGAAATAACAGCCATTTCGAGCCGCGTACTTTTCATAAGTGCAGCTGAGCGTTCTACGGGATCAGAGCCGAGACAGCAGCGCCCAAACCCGCAACAGCTTCGGCACCTTTGCGCACAGAGAACTGCTGTTTTAATCTTCCCATTCTTCTGTGCTGCGGCTTAAAGCATTTTTAAGCAAAAGACAGCTCGTCCACATGGTCAGGGCAGCGAGTGACGAGCCGCGTCTCGCAGGTCTCCGCTAAAGTTTAAAAGTGATCAGTGTGGAGCTGATGCCAAGGACCAGCAGCACAAACATGGTCCATGTGGTTTGACTGGAGCCGTGTATTTGCGAGGATTCTTTTGGCTGAGTGACACAGAGGAGAGCGACAGACCGGTATGTGTGTGTGTACAATACATGTATGTATGTGTGTATATGTAAGCTATGTGTGTGTGTGCAATACATGTATGTATGTGTGTGTAAATATAAGCTCCAATGTAGTTCTGACCCGCACCAGTGTGCAACTAGCAGGCGGTAACAGAGGGGAGAGATGATGCGTGTGGATGTTACGTGTCAATGGAGGGGGGGGGGAATGTGTGTGTGTGTGTGTGTGTGTGCGTGTACATGTGTGCGTGCATATGTGGCGCGTACGGCGTGAGAGTCGGCCCAGAGTTTACTGTTACATTGGCGCACACAGCTAGATAGGGACCCGCTCGTCACATCGTGCAAATAGGGCTTAAAATAGCGTTATGAAGAGACCTCCCCTTTCCCCCTTTTCTCTTTTTTAACCGACAGCTTTGACCGGTTAACGCTGTGACGGTCAACCACCGGTTAAACGGTCACCGATTTACATCCCTAATGGCACCTTTAAAAAGACTCACTCAATTTTCCTACATAGTTAATGTTTCAGACAAAGTTCATGTTGTTTTTCCAAACAGCATCTCCGGAGGTGGACCGACAGTGAAATGAGTTACTATCATTTAAATCAGCAGCACTAGTATTTGTATGATTTCATTTCATATTTAAAAACTATAAAATCACCTTTTGGGGATTTTAGGTTGTTTAGCGACATATTTTTACTTGAACTCAAACTTGACTTGAACCCATGAACAGAGACTTTGACCTTTACCTTACACAGCCTATATACTAAATATAAAACGAAATAAAATATGATGTAAAAAAATCTGTAAAAGAAAATTATTTATATCTCAACCGCCACTGCTCACCTGCCACTGCTCACCCGCCACTGCTCACCCGCCACTGCTCACCCGCCACTGCTCACCCGCCACTGCTCACCCGCCACTGCTCACCTGCCACTGCTCACCTGCCACGGCACGATCTCCAGGGCTCCTCTCGTCTTCGAGCTTCTGATCCACTTGCATCACAAGGCTCAGCACATCCTACACACGCAAAGCTTTGGGGCATTGGTCTACGTGCTGTGGGAGCACAACAACCTGCCCCTACAGCCCAGCTATCGACCCTTGAGATTCTGTCTCTAGTTTGTGGTTTGGGTGATCCTCTCTTGTCTGGATCCGGCTCCTGCAGCTCCTGGCCTCCTTCCTTGCATCTCAGTTTCTCATATTGCCCGTGGCTTGCCCTCTCTCAGGTCGTCTCAATTATCGGCCCGAGTCCACGCCACTTCCAGCCTTTGCCTCACACTATCGCCGCCACATTTGTGGAGAAAGTCACTTGCATCATAGTCGGTCAGTTATGAGCCTATATGAAGTATAGTTAAAAGTTTACCTCTCAAACATCACATCATGCAATAACAAAAGTATAAAACAGGCTAAAAACACAGTGACACCTTCTCTGGAAACACACTGTTCTACACCTTCACCTCACCTCACACATGACCAAACTACAGCGGCCCCCGAAAAGCTGACACCAAAAAGCTGAGGGCAAAGACAAAATGTGTCTGTTTATTTTCATATAATGTGGCATATTGTGCCAGTTGTACATACAACACACAATGATTCCTCATTTTACCAAAAAAAAATCAACATGAACAAAAGGAACAAGAAGGAAGTTATACAAGCGCATAAACCCTATTCCATTATTTTGCCAGAGAGAGATTTTTCTACATAATTTACCCCCATCCATAGGATTGCTAGAAAAAACTTGCGTCATCCTGACTTCGATTGCACCATTTAAAAAAAAATTCACAATGACAATGATTTTTGGATTTATTACTGATATATTGAGAATATAATGTCAAATTCACACTTTCCCAACTTTGACAATGCCAAATCTGAATGTATACTTGTAATTTTACAATTGCTGTACACATTTCCACCACTTGTTTTTTGTTATGAAAATTCCGGAAGTACAAATGTAGCAAAAACTCTCTCTGGGTCATTTTTCCAGCACTTTTGAGAGCAACATTTACATCTGTACTTCCTTTATTGACTTTACCTCCTGTTGTGGTTGGAACCAGGCTCCATAATACTTTACGCAGTGCTTTTTATGAAAACAGTCATAGAATAACAAAGAACCTTGCAGGTGTTCAACCTCAAATGCATTACAACCAATCCACCAGCCGTGCCCAAGGTTCGTGGGGCACAGATTTTTGGAAGCGGCCCATAAATCACAGCAAGTTCCAGTGACAGAGCGTTGGTCTGGCCATTCTTACGTTTTATCTCACTTCCCACTGCATTTCCCAGTCTGTTCTTGGTAGACTCGAAGAACCGCGCGATCCGCGAGCCAAGACCTCACTTAAGAGAAAGTCAGGACCTTTGAATGGATGAATGGGAGGAAATATCTGCAGCGTTTGCATCAGGCCACGTACACAAAGACAATGACCGACTGCGCGCTGCTGACCGCTGACAAGTTTTGGCGGAAAGCGTTGGTCAGAAACATGTTTTTTGTTTTCCCATTTTTACAGTAAAAGCAAAAATCCTCATTCATCATTCATTCAACAACAGTAATTAGTTCAGCATTACATGCTTTAGAATGTGCAATCGTCTCTTACAGGTGCATTACCCCAGTGCTTCTCAACTTGAGGTTCAGCATCCAAATGTGCAAGTCTCTTTTAATAAGTTATACTTTTTTCCTCCGCTTTTGGCCTATCCTCTAATACCACTAGGATCTCTGTCTGGAACAGTGGTCACCACAGCTTGGTCAGGACAACTATCTACTAAACAGCACTTGTCCATAATCCAGATGTTTATTATCCTGGGAATACCCATGCTTCTGTGTGAGCTAGAATCATTTTGATCTGCACAACAGTCTGGAAACCCTAGACAAAAATTACCCATGGATTTGGGGACCAATCACAGAACGGGTCCCCAAATCCATGGGCAAGTCTGAATTTGTCCTACAGGGATCAATAAAGTATAATCTATCTATCAGTCTGTGATGATGTACTATTGGACAGAAGGAAAAGCTCAATTGAGCTCCGTTAACGGTGGGCGGGGTTAACTCCTTTTGCAGATTGAAACGATTAGATCTGAGTTTGCCGTGACGTGTGTAATGCGCCCGAGTGAGTGAGGCCTTTAGCCTAGCTTTAGCCATATCTACAACATCTTTGCCAGCAATGAGATTTGCTAAACATTCCTCTTGCTTCGGCTTCAATCTCTTGATATTTGGGAGCCGCACCAGAATGGATTGAAGAGCTTCCTTTACCATCGCATTTGCCGCGATTAAAAAACTACAACCATCCAATTTGGTGTAAACTCTTGATGTCACCGACACCTACCTACGACACCCACCTCCCCCGCTCGCTGAATGGTCAGAGGGGATTCAACTGAAGTAACTGCAGCCACTAAGATCAGACCCAGACGCACATGTAGGAAATGATAATTGAGTTTATGGAGTTTAGGCCAGGCTAGGAAAGTGATGGTGTTGTTTGTTTGACATACTATATAAACACATTCATTTAATTCTGCAGTCATTATACAATTTTTGGATTCTTGAAACCTCTTCTCAAGGTTACTGATGACTTTTTCTATCATCCATATTTGTGATTTACTCATTAATTAACCCCAGAACAGAGAGAAGCAAGTGTGATTTTGACAAAGTGATTTAGTGTTGAATATTCCTACGAAAAGTCTAGGCTCATCTGTGCTGGTGTTGACTCAGAAAGTGGATCAGAATCCTACAGCGAGCCTCGATCATGTGAGCAGCTGTCCCAACAAGCACCCCGGCGGTCCGGAGGGGAAGGGGAGCTGGGACGACCATTCAAAACAATTTGCATCACTCATAATAAATCTATATCACAGTGTATCCTGAGCATACATAACTGATATCTTTATAACATAAAAAATATTATTTAAGTCCAAATACATCATGTTTTGGTGAATCAACAAAACCAATTTATTCCAACTTGAGCCACCACTTTCAGAAAATGACTGCTATACACACTTTGCCGACAGCCCAATTCCATTGTCAATATTTGTGTGCATTTTTCGATCCATGGTATGTATTTTTTTGATCATACAGAGTACAATATTACCAAATGAGAGATGCCTTGTACCAGGTAATAGCAACACTGCTTATTTCCATCTGTAGGCTAAAAGCTAAAGTTGATGAGTACTTGACCATAATGTGGTTTACCAATTATGAATCTGAAATTTAATTGAAATTGACTCAAAATAATAATAAATAATGAACCTTTCATATTACTTGGATCCAGATAAGCTGTCTCAGTTGGAGTGTTCCAATTACTTTTGGATCAGCCTCATAAGGTACTGGTACTGGATCTCCTCTCTAGTAATATTCCAATTCATTCCAATCTCAGGTCGAGGAACAGTGTGGTTTTCGTCTCGGCCGTGGAACACTGGACCAGTTCTATACACTGCTTCGGGTAGAGGAGCTCAGAGAAGGGCCACTGCTCTTCGATGTTGAAATCAGCCACTTGAGGTGACTCGGAAATGTGTTTGGGAGGCCTTCCTGGGAAGGTGTTCTGGGCATGTCCCACCAGAAGGAAAACCCCTCAGGATTCCCCTGGATGAGCTGGTGAGGGTTTATGTAGAGGAAAATCTAGGCGTCTCTGCATAGACTGCTTCATATAAAAATGAAAGAGCTTTATGCAAATGTTTATACTTAAAAGAAAAAGAAAAGTTAAAGATTGAAGGCTACACGTTTGACACAAACAGCCAGTTGCCTGATGTAAAACTATAATAACTAATATATGTGTGTGTGTGTGTGTGTGTGTGTGTGTGTGTGTGTGTGTGTGTGTGTGTGTGTGTGTGTGTGTGTGTGTGTGTGTGTGTGTGTGTGTGTGTGTGTGTGTGTATCTCGGAATAATAGTGCAACATGCACTAGAACAGAATTCCAAACACAAGCCAAAGAGTTATGTTCATTTTTGTGAGTCACAAGCACAGTGTGAAAAGTATTGATGATGTTATTGTCATTTGAGCAGCTCTCACACACTGCTCCTGCTTCTGCTACAACAACACTTCAATTCTATACACAAAAATGTGTGATGGTGAGACAGCTCCCTGCAGTGTGGGAATGTGTCTGTTTGAGAAGGATAAGAGAGACCACACCCCAGTCCAGGGCTGAGAGGGACTACAGACCAGACCTGGGACCATAGACCAGACCTGGGAGAGGGTGGTGGCACAGTGGTTGGTACTCTCACTTCTCAGAAAGAAGTTCCTGGCAAGTTGCAAGAATTTTACCATAAAATCAACAGATTTTAATGTACAGTGCACAACACAATGATTTATGAATAGATGGTGGAAAAATACTGTATAATTAGTGACCATTTACCTTAGAGTCTCAAGCCTGTCTGTGTGGTCTGTAGTCCCAGGTCTATTATGGTCCAAGTTCAGGTCTACGGTCCCTGATCAATGGTTTCCAGTCTGGTCACTGGTCACTGCTATATCTTTAGTTTCATAGATTACAATATTTTCATTGTGATTTTGATAATACATTCTTTTCAAACTAATAATAAAAATAAAAAAAACATCAGATTTTTTTTTTTACCGTGCTATGTATTCAAATGCATGTTTTAGACAAGGCAAGGCAAGTTGATTTGTATAGCACAATTCATACAGAAGGCAACTCAAAGTGCTGAACAAAATAGCATTAAAGGGGACATATCATGAAAAATCCACTTTTTGTGCCTTAAATGCCTTATGTTGTGTAGTTGGAGCCTCTAGAAGTGCAAAAAAGTTGAAATCAGTCTCTTCATGGGTTGCAGAGAACACTTCATATTCTGTTTAGGTGAGATTTTTCAACCCGTTCTGATTTTGCCGTTCTCTATTACGTGTTTAGAATTATTACGTCAAAGTATTTGCAGCGAGACTGCTATATAAGGGCATAGGCGTCTAACAAAACACTTCGGCCCAGCCCTCCTCTACTGTGCATCACTTAATTTGTAGTCCAAGCTCAAGGATGCCAGCGAACAGGGCTGGACTGGCCATCGGGCGTACCGGGCAAT